CTGCAGAGTTGGTGAGATAATTTACCAATTGAATCTCTTGATTGAAACCAAAGCATGTTCATCGCTTGATCTGGCTAGCCAACCAATCGTGGCCAATATTGGAGCAGTATGCTGGGTGGCTTGATGTAGCAAGCAGGTGATGGTTGACGACCTGCTGTGCGTAAATAACCCTCAACCTTGGTGGCCGCCAAGATTTCAAAAGCCGACCGGAGAAATGAGCTGCCCAAGGATCACAAAGCCCCAGATAATCGTACGTAGCTTGCAGAATCTCCATTCCCATCCTCACAAAATCAGTCACACGCCTGTTGACAGTTCTATCGGCCCTGGGGATGCATATCTTGGCCCTAGGAGCTCTCTTGCTCCCAGGGGCTTTAGTGCTGTTTTTGGGGCAAGAAAGCAGCTTCTAGGAGCCATGTAGCCCCCAGGAAACCCGACGTAGCTTCTGGGGCCTAGTACTTTCACCTCCTGGAACCTCAAGTGCGGCTCCTGGGGCTATGGCTAAGTCTTTCCGGGGGTAACGAATCACGCAGATTTATGCGCAGGTCTGGTGAAGGTTTTCTGTGAGGGCTTTTGGCGACCTCAGAAGGCAAAATACTGACTCTGGGATCCTGAAGCAGGGCCCCAGGAGCGCGACAACTTCCAGATCCAGCCAACTTGTTCCAAACCCAGTTCATATTTCATCAGGATCGTATCGTAGAGATCCCAGGGTAGAACTCAAATTCCTGGAAACAGGAAATGGCCCCAGGAGCTAAAGACAGGTTCCCAGAGAACAAACGGCTCCTAGGATTGCGTTTGGCGTTTCTAGTATCAATGCAATAGTTTCCAGAGTCAGATTTACAATGATTGTTGACTAATATAGATGGGCTGGTTTTGCTACGTCGTGAGGCGGTACGGATACAGTAGAAAAAGCGTCTGATTGTGCTCTTTATCAACACTTACGGCCCGCCTCTACCCTCCCCTACATCGACGCTTCAGGAGAGCCCCACACGATCAAATTTCTAGAGCATGATACGGCGATAGAATTGAAGCCGGATGCCCATATCTCAATTGTTTTGTGGAATAAAATGTATAACTTCGAGCCAAACACGCAGTTTAATGGCAGGGTGTTAGACAGATACGAATGGAATCTTTGGGACGAGGTTGACTGTGCTTTCAAGCTCCCCTTTCAACGTAGCATATGATTAGATATATAACTCTCAGTCAAATCAGGTCTTCCCGCATTTGCTCTTTAGATCAAATCTTGGAAATCCTTGCGACGCCTCCCATTGTGTACCTCTCGGGGAAATAAATGGACGCATAAATCTTTTCTACCTATTCCTGTTGTCAACTACTGGTATCAGTACGTGTTTGATGATCGGGATAGTAATTTCACGCCATCGGACTTTCAACTACGAATCCTTACTTCAGTATAAACCATGTCACAAAACGCTGGAGACTTTCATTCTTATATCCTAAAGGAAGCAAAGCACATATAATCAGACAAAACCAGATCAGAATCGGAAAGACAACAAAGCAAAACGAAAAAAAAAAAAACTATCAATCAATTCTATATCGTATCCAACAAGGCAATTGGTTGCCGCGGATTTGATTTTCTCTCAGAGTTCTTCTTCAGCCTCTTCATCGCCCATGAGCAGCCTCTCCTCTTTGTAATGATCATAATGAGCCAACGCCTTTCTGTATTTCTCTTCTCTCTCGTCTTTGGTGAAAGTGTTCCACTTTTCCAACTTTTCCACATTCGCCATGTAGGTGTGAATGTTGAATTTCTGAGGTGCCTTTTTCTTGTTTTGGCTGCCCCCGCTGCTTTCATTCTGGGTGGCATTCGGTGCAGGCGCATCCTCAATGGAGGAGCGGGGTTCCTCCTCTGGCTCTTGTTTGATACCTGTGACCGGATTGGTACCTGAGATGCTGGAATGGCTCTTGGGGGCCGACGAAAGGGGCTTCAGCAGGACCGAGGATGATTCGTACCGATGCGGCGAGTCAGATCTTTCTCGCTTGATTTTCTTGTCCTCGAACATAGCTAAAGGACATGGCGTAAGTGGGCGATGAGCTGATTTACCCTCACTATTGATCGCCTCGAGGTGTAGAGTCTCCTGCGCGTCCCAGGCTGCGTGGATTACCAAGCTGGCCAGTTTCGGGCCCATCAATCGGATCACATCCGATCTCGTTGTCCAGTTGCATTCTTCACCTAACAAGGCCTGGTGCTCTTTTTTGATATCCATCCATTCGATCTTGATCCATGTATGTGGGCTCCTGAGGCTGTTCCCCGTTTCATCAATGGCGATGCCTCTAACCCCAACAATATTATCTTTTGTATATTGCCAATGTTGATCCCCGTTTTCGGCTTCGTATCTGAGCTTGGAAATCCGATTGTTGGCGAATGAAAGATTCTTCAAACCCTTTGTGCTATACGCATTTGTCCTTCGATACACGTACTTGGGGGCCTTGATGGGGCCAACTCGAAAAATAAAGAATCGGTTGTTCGATTGGCCACCGAACGCCTCTATGTCGCCTGGTTGGGGATCTTCGTGTCTTTTCTTCTTTGAGTGACGGTGTTCACTTATGCTCATCTGCTGAAAGTCCACAAGTAGTTGCTTGTCGTTGGTTGAATCATCCAAGCCACGTGCGCGTGCTCCCGTGGGACCAGCAGAGACCGACTTGCCGGAGGTTTGGGGTTCAACGTCCGACATGTCCACATCACTCGACGGAGAGTCGTCCGCATGCTGTGTTTCGCTGCGAAAACCTCCTGAAATATCGCCATTTTGGTTTGAATTTGATTGAAGTGGCTGCTCCCTGTCTGGAGATTGTCGGCCGTCCCCGGGTCCCGGTGCAGCAGACACTTTTTCGTCAGCACTCGGACCCTCTCCATTGGTAATCCCTCCGCTTTGTGCCTCGTCAAGGAGCTGTTCCAGCTGCTCTTGGCTATGTTTGGTTGTCCTGGGCTCACCCTTGGACGGTTTCTTCACGCCCGCAGTGCTGGCATTGGAAACCATGGTGTGGATCTTCTATGCAGTCCCCTTGAGAATGGAGCAGGTTGATTGTCGTCTTACTTCTGATGGAAAGGCTTTGAGCTATTTATAAGCAAAAGTCTCCGCGGAGTCCGATCATTTTCCCTCGCTGAAGGAGGAATATTGCGGCGCGCTCCAATTGCCTCAATAATTTCGGTTGTTTATTTAGGAAATAATGATGATATGGGAGGCTTACGATTTAGTGGCGTTGGTATTTATTAAAAAAAGAGCCAGAATCTTGAGACCAGAATTTGTGTCTCAACTTTTCCCTCCTGGTCAGCGGAGAGAGGCCACCGAAATCTGATGGAGCGTTGACAACAAAAAAGACGGAGAAAGACATCAATTTCACCTGCAAAGGTGAAAGAAAAGAATTCTATTCAATCATTAAAAAACCTTTTTTACGATGCCTACACAAATGTAGACCTGAAAACCGCACCTGGCTAAAAGACCCAGTACCACTGTTTGTTAGCTGGCGCTGCCCAGCTGGATGGTCATTATTGCCCTTTTTTTGCCGTCAAAATCTGCACGTGTCTTCATCTTGACGCATGTAAGCAGTAATCGAGAAAATTAATAATTTGCGGATTTTTACTCTTACGGTCTGATCACCCTTTCAGTCCTCAAATTGGCCATAAGCGCATAATTCCGCAGTATGTCTAGCGCATTGAGCTAGCCAGTTTTATTTTTCTAGTAGCAATGGCTTCATAGCATTTTTTCATATACAAAGAACGATATAAAGAACACTTTCACTGAGCCTAGCTTCTCGGGAAGTTGCTCTAACCCTGAAACCAAATGAATGAGAAGGACTTCTATTGCATGCGGGTTGAGCGTGACTAGCGGCAGTACATTGTACTCTGCCGCTTTCGGTATTTATCTACAGGTAGGACCTGCCGAAGGTTTGATCTTGGGGGTTCGCTCCATTCTCCCTGGCAGAGGTCAAGCGTACATGCTAATTTTATCGCTGAAATATTTTGCCCTGTGAGTCAGATAGTGTAGAGGTGACGCAAAGCACCTACGAGACATTAGCGTCTTACAAGACTTGGCGATAAAGCAAAGGCAGCTGAGACAGATGAACTCAGGGAGAGCATGGATCTCATTTCCCCCAGCATGATATCAGAATCAGAGCATCAGAGCAACGCTCCCGAGAACGCCTCCGGTATCGCCCTCAAAGGGCCAACAGGCCCGGAAAATGTGTACTCTGCCGACCCGAGTCGAAAGCGAACCCGGAGGGGTGCGATCGAGCGTCACGCTAGGAAGACCGGCAAGCCTGCAAGCAAGTATAACTGCGACGGCTCAGCCATCAAGGAGTGGAGACCACCGTCTGAAGAGACGGGTATGCCTTGGTTTGAGTCCACTCCGTCTTCCTTGCACATAGAATTTCAGTCTGTACTTCCCCTGTCATCTCGATCGCTATTGAGTATTTCCTTTTCTAAACCCGCACAAGGTCAGATTGCGAGGCTCTCAGCTTTTATGACTGGGCCAAGCCACAGGAACTTGGAAACGTTGTCCGTAGAGATCTCGTCGAGCGATTGAATGTTGCATTTCAAAGTCGATCCGCTGGCACTGAAATCCATGCTTTTGGCTCTTTTACCTCTGGTATCTACCTGCCTACCGCGGATATTGACCTTGTACTATTGTCCGACAATTTCAGATGCACAGGAGTGCGTTCATTTGGCGAGAGAAAAGATAAAATATACGCAATTTCGGGCTTCCTAATAAGTACCAACATTGACAACTTTAGTTGGGCAATCAAGCTCTGTTTAAATACGACTGAGTGTTCTTACAATGCCGCAATCACATAATGCAGCCGAGTCATGTTGGAAATGCGCCTACGGAATGAAAACTCACGACTGTTGCCAGTCAGAAAAATTTGGTTTGTGGTAATTATGTTATTTAAGAGAGCGGGCGACGCCGGTTTAGTGATTTGGCACGGTTTTAGCAAGCTATAGAAATGAACCCACTCATGTCACCATATTTACAATAGAAGAGCCGTCAGCCCTAGGCAATGTCTCGCGGCAAGGTAGCAAGAAGCCAATTGAAAATGTCAAGCCGTCTGCGGATCACGGCCCGGGCTAACGGGCTGACACCTTGATGGTCAGGGACGTTGGTCTGAACCCGCGGAAATTTTGCGAGAAGGCAAAGCAACTGCCAGTTGCAGGTGTTCACTGCGTGCCAGAGGGCCGAACGACCGGAATAATCAAGCGATTCGGCTCGAATGTCTTTGTGCGACAACAGTGAATCAAGTATCCGGTTGCTATTGGGCTGATCACAGCTGTGGATCTTGGCAGCCAGTAGAAGTGCAGTATCGCCGTTGCTGTCTCGAGCATTGATGTTGACATTTTTGTGCTTCAGCAAAATTTCGACCGCCCTCACATCGTCGTAAATCACAGCAAGGTGGAGAAGAGTATGCCCACTCTTATCTGCGATGTTCACGTTGGTATGTGGATCGCAGAGGAGCGATTGCAAGATCTCGTGCTGTCGATATTCCATAGCCACCATGATTGGTCGTTGGTTGTTCCAATCTGGACGGTTGACGCATACAGGGAACCGCCCCATCAGGTATTGGACGAAGCAGCTCTTGCCCTGTATGATGGCCCAGGTGAGTACACTTGGGGCCCGGCAAGGGCACGAGGCGAGCACATGGTCATGTTGTATCTGCAGATTGTCCACCTCCAGCCTGTCTTTTTCTGACATAGACATTGAGGATGTGCAGTTATCAAGGAGTGGAGACCACCGTCTCAAGAGACGGGTACGCCTTGGCTTGAATCTACTCCGTCTTCCTTACAAATCGAATTTCAGTCAGTACTTCCCCTGTCCTTCCGATCGCTATTCTTCTCTAAACCCGCACTAGGCTCGATCGCGAAATTCTCAACTTTTATGACTGGGCCAAGCCACAGGAATTTGAGGACATTGTCCGCAGAGATCTCGTTGAACGATTGAGTATTGCATCCCAGAGTCGATACGCTGGCACTGAAATCCTTGCTTTTGGCTCTTTTGCCTCTGGTATCTACCTGCCTACCGCGGATATTGATCTGGTACTACTGTCCGACAATTTCAGACGCACAGGAGTGCGTTCATTTGGTGAGAGGAAAGGAAAAATATACGCAATTTCGAGCTTCCTGGAAAGTACTAACATTGCTGTTCCCGATTCGATCGAGTGCGTTACCCATGCTCGGGTCCCGATCCTGAAGTTCGTGGACCGGCTTACTGGGCTGCGTGTTGACATGTCCTTTGACAACAACAGTGGGTTGATGGCCAATGAGACTTTTCAAACATGGAAGGAGCAGTTCCCCATAATGCCCGTTATTCTGTCAGTGGTCAAGCAGTTTTTGCTGATCCGTGGCCTCAACGAAGTCCGGACTGGTGGACTGGGAAGCTTCTCCGTCACTTGCTTGGTCACAAGTCTACTCCAGCATCTGCCCAAAAAACATATGCAGCTCAACCCTGGCAGCATTCTCATGGAATTTTTCAATTTCTACGGAAGCAAGTTTCAATACAATCAAGCCGCAATCTGTTTGGATCCTCCGGGTTATTTCAGCAAGGTGTGATAGGTTCAAACGGTCCATTTATGCACTATCTGACTCATGAAACACTACAGAAATCATTTGGAACCCCCGATCGTCTCACTATTGAAGACCCTAATAATACGGACAACGATATCTCTGGCGGCACAAGGGCGATCGACCTGATTCTTCGCACCTTCGCTAGTGCTCATACCACCCTGAAAAGTCGTATGGAACACCTCGCACTCGTCCGAGGCCCGAACAAGAGCATTTTGGGGCCAATCATTGCAGCGAACTTCGAACAATACACTGAACAGCACAATAAACTTCGCCGGGTCTTCATGACAGAAAGCAGATTAGCTGGGCACAGAGTGCCTCCACCACCGCCGTTAGAACCTTATCATGATAGCGGAGTGCATTTCGCTCCCCCGCCGCTGCCCGCCGGGCCGCCGCCTATAAGTCCTCCCCTACCCCCGGTGCAACAACCCATCAATAATGCAAGATCAAGTTCCAAGGGCACGAGGGCCGAGCCAGAAGATATTTCCGATGAATATTCTAACGAAACGAAGCTAGTCAACCCCCGCAAAGGCCAAATAGGACGACAAGCGCGTCGGTGGCGTGCCGCAAGAATGAAATGCCTCAGGCCTGATCTAAAGAATCTCCTCAGCTACCTCACTGTCAATCAGGCTCTTTGGCACGGCGGCTATGCTACCAATGGGGAAATGAAACGTGACTTGAGTTCGAGAGAACGGAGACAAGCCGCGGCCTAAGTGGATCTCCCCTGCACCGGACCTGACGTCCGCAACGACTCTCTCTCTTAGTTTTTGTTTGCGCAATGGCTTGGCTCTTTCTGCGGAGCGAGTCAAGCCCCTATATCGGTCAGGAATAAACAAATATTCTAACCAAAGGCAGTTAGTGAGGCGAGATATCTTCTTAATCGTCGCTATGGCATCAAACCAAATTTTGTGCACCCTCTGGCGCAAGATTTGCGAATACTTTCGGTGCCGAGAGCCGCATCACATTCCCCGAGCGGGAAGTCTCGCATCAAGTATTAGTCTCAATGTGCTTGCATTAGCAGGAAAGCTAATCAATCTTCTTGCACGCTAATTGAACCCATCACCAACGGCGCTACAAGTGATAAATTTCAGTCCTTTGGCATATAGTAGGAGAATGTTTCTCGCCGCCCTTGAAAATTTTCGGCAGGCTCTTAAAGTCGATATTGTTATTTTAGAAAGGCAGACTCGGGCGGAGCATAGATCTCAGCATTCTCGGAAAGCTCTGCCTGCTCTTCCTCGACAGTCCGGATCGGTGAAACTGAGCGCAGCAGTTTCCAGAGGGTCTCGGGAAGTCTCGTTGGCCTTTTCCCGGTGGTACCGCGTATCATGCCCACGCTCTGTTCGAGGTTAGTATGTGCATACTCAGCTTGAAGATTTTACTGTGGACTGACCTCAAAGCTTGTTGTTTCGCTATAAAAGAATTGCTGTCTTCCCGTCACCCTAAGCAAGTAGTTCCATATACGGGCTTTGGTAGCCGGCTCCAAGAGTCTATCGGCTTGTTCAATGTCGCCCACCTGGGGAAAGTTCTGGAGGAGATTGACATAAATCGGGAGTAGAGTTGCTTCGTGCATGTGAACGGCACACTGCCATATTTGCCGCACGTTGTCTGCCACCTCACTGGTGGCGATCAGTCCTTGACGATCACGGCTAAACTTGCCCAGAGCAAAGTTGTAACCAAACTTGAATTGCTGGGCCCCTGAATTAGACATTGGTAGCAGGATCCCATGCAGGAAGAGCCTTCCGTGAAATTGCGAATCGAGAAGCAAGTCTCCTTGGGGTGTCTCTACAATTGAGGAGGGATGGGAGAGCCTGCGGATATCGAGAGTGACCTGCAGCCACTCGAAAAATGTTTCAGATGATATCGGTCGACTTTGACTGGCATGTCCAGGCCCAATCACCACCGTGATGTCTCTTTCGATGTGAAAGCGCAGCTTTGCCATATCATCAGCTGGCTCACGTTGAATGGCAGGACTCCTCTTTCGGGAAGGACTGATGACACATCGGAGAGACTGGTACTTCCCATGCAGACCAAAACTCCACTTAGAGTGGCTTGCAGCCAAGCTCATTTTGTATCCGTCTCGACTCATTATTAGCGCAGCCAGCTTGAGCCCCTCGCCATGGGACCCTGCCAGCTGCTCGTCGTCGTCCTTGGATGTGAACCCCATCACGAGAGACTCGAGGGGAAGTTGCATGCAGGAGTTGGTCAAGATGACTCGGCCGGTCCTTTTCTCGTATTTGATGAACCCCAGAGCTCGCCGATTGCCGTTGCCATTCGAGGCAGTTGGGACTGTGATGGAGAAGTGGTCTTTCTTGTCTTCAAAAAACGGCTTGAAATCCAGTCGATTTAGTTGAAATCTTTCCAGAATAGCATCTTTCCTATTCTGTCTTAGCATTTATCCGAAGAAATAGATGTCACATACCAATTTTGATACAGCTCGCGGAATGCATCTGTAGTGTCCCAACCTTTCACATAAGCAGGTGAAATCCCAACTGGGATAGTATGCTGTGAAGGCTCGGTCAAAACTTCTCCGCTCTGCCGTAATTCACGATCCAACTGCAGATTCGCTTCGTCGCTCGTGCTCGTGCAACCATCTTGATCCATGTGATCGTCATCTGTATGATTGCTCATCGTTGGGTACGCTTTTGGAGCACTGCAGCAGAGTGAATAATAGCTTTTTGTCTCTGGGTCTTGCGTATGCTATTTATACGGCGCCTTTGAATTTTCTTTCGAGACATTCTCCCTGAGATCGTTGACCGTGGGGAACAGAAACAGTAGCATCCTCATTGATGATTTGAAGAGAGAAAGATTAAACTCGGTGTACAGTATTGGAAATTTGAAACTAATCTGGCTTGCGTCCACGACTCACCAGTCCTTGACGAACGACCATACGGTGATGTGGAAATTATTTATACAGTAGTTGGTTGACTTCTTCACATCCGGTCAATTCGAAATTCAACGTTGAATAGCTCATGTGAGCCATGAAGGGCATCCCTCCAGGCTCCGCGTTTATATTAGCGCGCCAACTGTTGAATTGAGTTCAGGCCGAATGTTGAGGTCAGCATGTCCAAAGATAAGGAATACAATCCGTTGGACCTTAACAACCTGCCTGTGGTTTGAGCAATAGTTCGTGAACAAAATCCAGCAGTGGACTGGGATCATCATCGACCGGAAAACCCTTAAGGCATATGATCAGAAGCTTGTCAGCTCGATTTTTTCAAGTTGACGGACCATAACATAGTTGAAGGGATGGGCCTCTTCAAGGTAAGACATACATTACAATACAGTTATAGACTTTGCATTATCCTACATATACAGACGTGTGTGTGTGTGTGTGTGTGTGTGTGTGTGTGTTGCCCTGAAACGAAGGAACGAAGTGAAAGGGGTTACAAACCGCGCGGCTGCGCGAGGCTGAGTTAACGCTGCTTAGAACGCTGCGATTCACACAGCCTACGCCTCCCTATCATTGGTTGTTGGTTGGATTCATGATCACGTGTTCCTTCTCGTCTTTGTTGTGCCTCCTTTGGTGGGACTGGTCTCGAGTGGTCTCTCGGCCTGCCTGTTTCACAAGGAACATCCTAGTATGTTGTCCCAATCAACCCCTTCCTGTCCGCTGTTACAATCATCTGCCAACTTCCGTGTTACCATGTCACCATATTATTGGTTTTCTGCACTCTTCTTCCTATTCGCCCCTTCCTTTCCCTTTATCCTCGCCGTTCTTTCCCCGCGTCCGCCTATCTAATACTTATACCAGTACTTTCCCATGCGCTTATTATCATAATTGTGTGTTGCAGTATAAGGCGAACACTTTTGTCTATTCCCCAGATTCTATCCTGACTACAACCGATGATGAAAATTGCATACTGTCCTCCACGCCTATAATTTGGACCTGTCGGTTGTTTTATCTGCTACAATACCAATCTTCTACAATCTAATCTTCCGGGCAATGAAGAAGATACCGACACGTATTTCATGCACTGTCCCGAGGCTGCCCAGCCAATAGTGACATTTCTCGGTGTCGTTATTGGTCAATTGAAGGGTGGGCCCACTCTTCTCTGCCGGCCGTCTCCAGACCACTGTTTACAACAATTCAACCTGAACCCATGACACCTTGCCTGTCACCGCATACTTCAAAATGGTCAGCGTTGGGCCAACTTTCCGCCACTGAGCATAATCACCCATGTTTTCTTGACCAGTCGTATTTTCGACCTCACAAAAGAAAATCGCCAGTTAGCTGTCGTTACGGATGATATACACTTTCTCCCAACACCAAATAACCTGTCGACGATCGATGGATCGGTAAGGTCTCGTACGTAGCCATGGATTATCACTAAACAGCTGTTCCTCTAAATCCATCCGTCCGCCTTTTATATACATACCAGACTCGGGGGCTTGCTTCTTAGTAAGCTTCTCTTGTAGATCCTATCCAACACGGGCTTAGTGGTAAACTACCACTGACATAACCATTTGCCCGCTACCCCTTCCTCGACTGGTAAGCGGAAGCGCGTGGACCGTTGGTCCCAGAGAGCCGGCTCACAACGCCGACCAAATCGGTTACAAGGTCACAGTAGAATCACTTCCTATGATACACCAGTCCCAGGAATCCCCTGAAGTTACTGCACCTGGGCACCTGGTGACGACGATGAGGAAGCCACGCAAATTACATGGCCAGACACGCCCGACGAAACCAAGCCTCGCCGCGTCCCACCACGCCAGTTCCAGAGAGGCGTTCTCACAGACCACGAAAAAAATTATATGCCGATATACTTACACAAACGAAATACGATAGTTGATTAACAGGTTACTTACTGATTTCTCATTTTTCCAAGATGTTGCTGATATTAGTCAGCTACTTTCTACCTTTTCATTGGTCAATGTTCAATCCAAATTATCAATCAAGCAAATTGATGGCTTTAATTCCCTATTCCTGCCTTTCCTTTTCATCATTTCAGGGCCACAGCGTGCGCAGCGCGCGTCTCCAGTTCATTTACCCTGACCCCTCGCAATGAAGTTGAATCCCAGGTCACGTGATATGTATAGATCTGTAGGAGTGGCTGCCTATTAGGCAGACACTACGCTAGGCAGCAGGGAGATGAGCTGCTGGAACTACAAATAACTAGATCTTCTATAGAGAATATAATCACACTTGTACCTTAATCCAAGGTCCAACTAATGAAGCGATATGCAGGCTACCACGACTGTGTAAATACATGATGATTTATCCACTGAGATTGTACCAAACTTCCTGAACGGTGAACTTTGAGCCTCACCTGGTAAGGCCTGTGATTGTCTCCACTTTAACCTGTGAAAAGGCTGGGGTACTCCGCTACCCCGGGTTGTGGGTCTCTCCAAAGAGACGCGATGGTGGTAATTGATGTGCCGGCGTTGGGAATCGAACCCAAGCCCCGCAGAATGACGAGTGACCAATTCGTCATCCTGCAGGTTGCCTTCGGGGTGCTTACCACTGCACCACCGCTACCGGCCTACATATACAGACAGTAGTAGTAGTAGTAGTAGTAGTAGTAGTAGTAGTAGTAGTAGAATTCATTTACACTGAGCGATATGCAGTATACAACAACTATATATCCGAGTATGTACTTTTAGAATGATCCACTTTCTGACAGGAACTTAGAGCCTCGTCACGGCCTACCCTGGCCCATTGCCGCTCCCGCTGTTAGGCTGCCCTTGTGGCGCACGACTGCGAAACCTCTTGTGACGCCTCGGCGAAGTCCAATACGGCCTGAACCGTCTTCGCCCTCGAGACGGTGTCTGGATTACCTCTCTCACCTTCGGTTGAGCCTCCCAGCAGGCTCGACACGCTGTTCAACGCGTCCCCAACACTTCTTCTTAGTTCTATCCGCAAGTCTCGTAGCTTTGGACATTCCAGCAACACGTGGCTGACCGTCTCCTGCGCGCCGCGCTCGCATCGATCATTGTCCCGGAAGCCAAATTTCTTGGCGTACGTGGATAACCAGTTATGGCCTGTGCGCAGCTGAGTGAGCAGGTATGCTCGGTTCCTGGGCAAGCTTCCGTACATTTTCCTGGTGTACCTCGCTGGTAGCGCGCCGTCCACCTTCCGTAGGTGCGCGCCTTTCGTGCTTGACTTCCACTCCTGCTCCCACTGGACATGGATCTTGCTGCGGAGAAAGGCGTTCTCTCTCGTCAGCAGCGGCCGGAAAGGATGGGTTTTGCCCGGTTGCGCGGCTTCTTTGGCGAGTCGATCCGCGGCCTCGTTCCCGACAATTTCACAATGGCCCGGTACCCACTGGAGACGGAGGGCAATATGCCCTGCTTGAACCTCGGTGGCTGCTTGGAGGATTGCATGGATGATTCGTTGCCCCGATCTGTTTCTCACGGTCTGGATTGCCTGCAAAGCGGATCTGCTGTCATAAAGGATTGTTGCTGTTGTGTGCATATGGTCTCCGACGCTTGCCCGTTGGTGAGCCAACTTGAATACTGTGCTGACTGCGTAGAAGATGCCTATGAGCTCCGCTACGTGAACCGACCACCGTTCCATCGACCCCACTTGCACCTGTTGGGATTCCGTCACCTCGTCATTGTCGTTCAGGGCCACGATGGCTTCAGAATACAGGATGGATCGAAATCAGTTTCACCACTTGCACAGAGATTCTTTCTCCAACCCTGTCCCCAAACACGCTATGCCCGTTACGATTACTCTACCCATGAGCCTGTTTCTTGGCAGTATTCCATTACAGCAGTAAATAACAGCTTAAAAATAGCTTTCGTATTATACCCGTAAGGTTTCCGGGTGTTCTAGAACATTGGACCAGCAAATAAGCCAAACAGACCGAGACCTGCTAGTTTGGAAATGTGGCACGAACCTGAACTCCCATTCTGCCAGGCACTTGCCATCTAGAGTGATTACTACGAATGAGCGAGTTGTATTGAGATACAGCGATTTTCGAAAACATATTACCCCTCAGACACTCGCACTTTGTTTCTCAGCCGGTACCCGAGGCAACGCTAGGCCATATACAGCTAGCTCGTGAATTAAACTGTTCTATAAGTGGACAATATCCTATCACTTGACTCAATAAGGGTTTAGCGTGTTTCGGGTACGAGCCGACAAACAAAGTGTGAGTGTCTGAGGGGTAATCTGTTTTCGAAAATCGCTGTAGTGCTAGTGAGTGGGGTTTACAGTAGTATTCGAAATCAGCTATACCTCTGCACTCTTGTGACTTAATTCCCGGAAAATAAATCCGAGGGTGGTGAATTCTGATTGGATAGATGATGACCACACCGCTCTGCAGACCGCTTGCTAGAATGGTAAGTGTATCTTACAATACAGTAGCAAGACACCCGAAGGTACATACATCTTACGCGAAAGTGCGATATGCATGGCGCCCCCCACTCGATCGTGGCAAGAACTAGGCTTCCCCTCCCACTCACGCACCACGCGTCTGTCTTTGAGTAAAATCACTCAATATCATTTCAACGACCATGACTCCTACGATCCCTACACTTCGAAGCTTCATCTGATCTGTGACATGGTAGACAGCCAGTGTTTTACCACGTCTCAGATGACCGAGGAAGCTAAATAAACCAAGCTCACGATTATCAACATTCGGCCAAATTGAAATTATCTATGAATGCCCAAATTCGCTGAAAAAGGCTGCACACCTGGAAGTTGACAGCCCTTTGCAACCACGTGGCCGAGAATCCTGGTTTAATCTCGATGAGATGGCTGTCTTTGTGAGATGAGTTTAAAATCATGATTACGGCCCCCAGCACCAGAAGTACCCTTATAGCGACAGGTCAGCCAAAAGAGCAGAACGGAGACTTGAGAGTCTATTACCTACATACTTCGCTGACAGTGGTATCACCTAGTATTTGTTGATGAAAATGTTACTGCATTGTGGTTGTATTGGTGAAGTGCACAGCTATCAGTCGAGGGCTTGTATTAGGAGGTGTTCAAGCGGGCTCACTGTTTCATGATAGAAGTCCACACTTTCATCCCACGCGCTCAAACCACAGAATTGCGTATTTGTGAAACGAAACAATTGAATCACTTTATTATTGATGGTGAATAGGCAAATTTAAAATTCCAAGCTGTATTGCAGTCTCTGTCAGGCAATAAGAAACATTATTAGGCCAAATTTTCATGAGTCGCACTGAATTCAAACGGTGCCACCATCCTTTTCGCTTTCTTGTGCTTTGCTGAAATCCCTCGGTTCCAGCTCTCCCATTCCAGAATTTCTTCCTCTGCCCGCTTGAGCAAGCAAGCTTGATTTTCAGTATGCTGCTCTAGCCTGAAAACATTCATTTCCAGCTCATCAATGAGACATTCCAAAGATTGAGTCGATGTTCCACTTGTCGATATCCTCCGGGCGAGTTTGCAGGTGACATCAACCATAAAATCACCCCCTTCTGCTATCAAGGCTCTCATACTCTCCTCTGATAGCGTGGTGTATTTCAGGGCTACATATTGAGAAAGTAGTTCCCGAGCTGGATTATTCGGTTTCGATTTTGGGGTCGCGCCGTAAATGAGACGGATGGCATCTGAAAGACCCAGGAAGAATGGATCCGTTGGTGTACCGCATTTGAGAAGAAGCTGCGTCAGGCGCTGTAAAGCCATATTTTCGAGTCTGGAAAACAAAAACTGGTGTGCAAAGCAGTAAACCTTAGCGTGCATAAGAGCGATGTCACCAAGACCCTCATCACAAGCACTAGGTTCCTTCATGAACGCTGCTGCGGCTGTTTGAATAGTCTCTGCTGGCAAACCAGCTTGCAAACACCGACTCAAAGGTGTTAGCGGTCGTTCCGAAAGCGCTTCGTTTAAGGTTTTGGAGTCAGGCATCGATGACCCCGCATTGGTAGAGAGGGAGGCTGCTTGTGCTAAGAGGTATACTCGTTAGCAGAGAACAGAATTAAAAGGGACTATGGAATGTACCCATCTGATCTTCGTCGTTCCTCTCTTCAAATTGTTCACCAACAAAACCTCGATCGCGCACGTCGTAATCCTCAATGTATAGATAGCTCAAAGCGCATTTAACGGTTTCCTCATCGAATTCCGTCCAATCGATAGCCCCACTCGTACCATTCTTTATCCACTGGTCGTTGACACGAGCTTTCAATACCGGTGAGCCGCACGACGAAAGGACTGCAGGATGAACGTAGTAGACAGTTTTCTGAGGGCCAACAATAACCTGGATTGGGCAATCCTTGAACGTACTTCATCAATGTCAGCACAAGAAAGTACAAAGTATAGGGGCGTACCTACCTGGGAAATTGGTGAAAATTTGTACGCGATGCCATTGCTCAACGAATCCTGGAAATTCAAAGCCGATACGAAGTATCGACAGAATGTAGTGTGGTCAGACCAATCTCATCACCAGCGAGCAGTGTCTTGCTGGCGACCACTCTAAGGTGAGGTGTAGACCTAGAGTGTGATGGTCCTACGGTTCACGCTGAGGTATAGCTAAACCCTAGAAACCCCGTGACTGAAGGCAGTTGAATCGGGTAATCGTGACGGATTAGATTGTGTTGTCGAAATAATGGAGGGGAAAGTGTGTTGGCCTCAAGAAGGTAGAGAAGGGATCCACCACGCCGCACAATCATTGGCTGCACAAGGGTGTGGGACGACCCTGCGAATCATTTAAGTGATGGTCGGTGGAGCAGGGGGAGATCATAGCCAGATGACCTGAGGTGTCAACTCGTTTTTGGAAAGAGCGAAGCTAGGTGAGGAAGCTGGCGATCTGGCCAGATCGCCCAAATCTATAAAGAAAGATTTTAGGTGGCTCCATGTAATATTACGGTACCGTGACAATGACTCATTGCTAGCAATACAATATTACGATAACAGTTTTGCCAAAATTATGAGGCGATGGACTAACCCGGCCTAGCGCCTGTCGAAATTAGTTTCTCCGAATCAAGATGAAAGAGTCTGGAGGTATAGCTGATTTCGAAAACTACTGTATTTGCTTCATTCAACAGGATAGCCTTCCAATAGGGGGCTAGCATCTTCTGAACTGACTGGTCGTGATCATGCTGACTTTGAATCTGTTAGAGCCTGAAAATAAGGACGATGACTGCTGATTTGTATACCGATAATCATGATTTTGAACCGAATGACTTCGAAACTGGAGATCAAGATTCGCAATATGCCCCTACTCCAGGATACTACGGACCCACGCCAGGGTCAAGCTGTGGGCTCAACCCTTCCCCCGACCATCACTTTGAGCATGATATGGAAGGCCTGTCTCAACTCCAACCCGAAAGACCCAGACTGCTCCAGCTATCTGAGTGGCACGATGAGATGCTGAGTGACGATCTTCCGGCGAGCTGCATCCAGTATACGATAGGGTGGAAAGTTACGGTGAATAAGAAAGTGTTACTCGAGACACTGAAGAGGATATAGCCCTAGCCCCAAGTACGTACTGGCTGATAAAGGAAGGGTAAGATCGGACGACTTCTCGATCGCTGTGTCGGTGAATGATCGCTCCCAACGCGACCTGATGAGACGGTTTGACCATCTCAACATCGATTGGACTGCCGTTGAAAAGCAGCTTCCGAAGTGGGGCGAACTGTCTCGTCGAGGCAAGAAACTGAGGCTAAGTATTACCTTTAAATATGTTGAGGACGACCGTCTTTCCAAAACTGCAGCCGGTAGGGTCGAGAAAAGAGGAAGGTCTTCGGTCACCAAACGAATGCTCAACGAGCGAGACGCTCAACTAGAGGCCGAAGAAAAGGTATCCGGTCAAGAATCGATTTGGCGAGGTGTTTACAACTTGATGCGTTGCTCATCCTCCTCATGCCATCTCGGCTCACATTGCTGGCAAGACCCCCACGGGAAAAAGCATTATAAATTGAGGAGCTATCAACTGAAGGGTTTGATCGCCTTTGTAGAGAAAGGTGGCGCCTTGCAGTCTCATGGAGACGTCCCTAAAATTTCCGTGAAGAACTATATATGGAAGAGCGACACAGGCTGAAGAGCTAACAATCTTATAAAAACAAGATGGTAGACACCCCAGAAAACTGTCAGCCTATCAACATCAACTTCTATGGGATACAATCTTCCCCGCAACAAGACACGCCCAACCCAACCACAGCCTCAGCAATGGTTCTGCCACCCAATGACCAAGTTATGGAAGACCACAACCTTACTGGGCTAAGAGACGAAGCTGTCAAAGATTACAGTACCAGGTTCCGCAGGGCAGGTTATGAATGCGATGCTTCAGCTGCGATCCAGCGCATGCTTCAAGAGCTAGATCAAAAAAATACTTGCAGAGGCTGAAGAAGCGGTGTCTGCAGAGCCTCCCACCCGCAAAATGGTATATGCTCTGATGCGCTGACTGAATTCATTCAGGTCCTCATTATTGGCCAAATCCTTGTTAAAGAAGCACCACAAGCATTACCGGGAGTTCTGGAGATCCTGGTGAGATATGTGCAGACTGGCGGGATTTTAGAATCACATGAAGACATGCCAGGTATGATCCGCGGACGGATCTATAAAGTAGACAAGTAAGGACTTGGTAGACTAGAACCACATAGCGGATTTATGGCCGAAATGAGTTGCCATTTCATTGCGATCACCAGTTTTATTCCAGCATAAGCCGCGCAGACAGTCGCATCAACCGGACTACTTCTTCGGTCAATATTACTAACCTATGTTTCTGAGGCGTATCTAGGAGATTATAGTCGCTGATAGCAGTCGTGGTTTGGTAACCACTGAAAGCCGAGGCCAGGAAGGGCTGCGATGTCGCTCTCAATGAAGCATTATACCTAGCCCATATCGATGAGGACAAGGAAAATAAGTACTTGATCAAGCGCGGCGTCGAGTGGGGCTATTATGCCGCGCGTTTTGAAGTGCATTAGGGGTTGAGTTGAAGATATGTACGAGGGTTGTATGACCGAATATTACAGTTGCGATGAGACCTGACTAAGCTAAGTTGAAATGACGGCATACTGTCCGTGCTGAATGATCTGAAAGGGGGCTCAGGATGGACAAGAAGCTAAACTGAGAGAAACAGGTCAGAGTCTGCCTCCTGTTTTCATAGGTAGTAACCAGATCCTAACTCATTCACCGCTGGACTCAACATTATAACGTAGCCGAAGGCTTTGCCAGAGAGACAGTGAGTACTTTAGAAGTATATCGACAAAAAGGTGTGTCATGTTGTAGGAGAAGATTACTTTCAATACAGCATATTAACATTTCGCGCCAGAATTTTTCAGTATCTCCACGACCTCGAAGTGACCGCCTTCTGCTGCTGCTTGGACAGCTGTTCGGCCTTCTTTTGTAGCAGGTGCTGCGTTGACATTGGCCTTCGCTGCCAGCAGTGCCTGTACGACATCGAGGTGACCGCCTCCCGCTGCTGCTTGGAGAGCTGTTCGGCCGCTATATTCCGCTGGTGCTGCGTTAACATCGGCTTTGGCTGCCAGCAGTGCTTGTACGACCTCGAGGTGGCCGCCCTCTGCTGCTGCTTGGACAGCTGTCCGGCCGTCATATTTCACATTAACTGCGTTGACATTGGCCTTCGCTGCCAGCAGTGCCTGTACGACCTCGAGGTGACCGCTTTTTGCGGCTGCTTGGAGAGCTGTTCCATCGCTATATCTCGCTGGTGTTGCGTTGACATCGGCTTTGGCTGTCAACAATGCCAGCACGACCTCGAGGTGACCGCCTCCCGCTGCTGCTTGGAGAGCTGTTCCATCGCGATGTTTCGTAGGTGTTGCGTTGACATCGGCTTTGGCTGCCAACAGTGCCTGCACGACCTCGAGGTAACCGCCTCCTGCTGCTGCTTGGACAGCTGTTCTACCGCTATATCTCGCTGGTGCTGCGTTGACATCGGCTTTGGCTGCCAGCAGTGCCTGCACGACCTCGAGGTGACCGCTTTTTGCGGCTGCTTGGAGAGCTGTTCCATCGCTATATTCCACAGGAGCTGCGTTGACATCGGCTTTGGCTGCCAACAGTGCCTGCACGACCTCGAGGTGACCGCCTCCCGCTGCTTCTTGGAGAGCTGTTCCATCGCTATGTTTCTCAGGTGTTGCGTTGACATCGGCTTTGGCTGCCAACAGTGCCTGCACGACCTCGAGGTAACCGCCTCCTGCTGCTGCTTGGACAGCTGTTCTACCGCTATATCTCGCTGGTGTTGCGTTGACATCGGCTTTGGCTGCTAGCAGCGTTTGCACGACCCCGAGGTGACCGCCTCCCGCTGCTGCTTGGAGAGCTGTTCCATCGCTATATTCCGCAGGAGCTGCGTTGACATCGGCTTTGGCTGCCAACAGTGCCTTTACGACCTCGAGGTAACCGCCTCCTGCTGCTACTTGGAGAGCTGTTCGGTCGTTATCTTCCGCAGGTGCTACGTTGACATCGGCTTTGGCTGCCAGGAGTGCCTGCACGACCTGGAGGTGACCGCCTCGCGCTGCTGCTTGGAGAGCTGTTCGGCCGCTATATTCCGCTGGTGCTGCGTTAACATCGGCTTTGGCTGCCAGCAGTGCCTTTACTACTTCAATGTAGCCGCCTCTTGCTGCTGCTTGGAGAGCTGTTCCATCGCTATATTCCGCAGGAGCTGCGTTGACATCGGCTTTGGCTGCCAGCAGTGCCTTTACTACTTCAATGTAGCCGCCTCTTGCTGCTGCTTGGAGAGCTGTTCCATCGCTATATTCCGCAGGAGCTGCGTTGACATCGGCTTTGGCTGCCAACAGTGCCTGCACGACCTCGAGGTGACCGCCTCCTGCTGCTGCTTGGACAGATGTTCTACCGCTATATCTCGCTGGTGCTGCGTTGACATCGGCTTTGGCTGCCAGCAGTGCCTGCACGACCTCGAGGTGACCACCTCCCGCTGCTGCTTGGAGAGCTGTTCGGCCGCTATGTTCCGCTGGTGCTGCGTTCACATCGGCTTTGGCTGCCAGCAGTGCCTGCACGACCTCGAGGTGGCCGCCTTCTGCTGCTGCTTGGAAAGCTGTTCGGCCGTGCTCTGTAACAGGAGCTGCGTTGACATCAGCTTTGGCTGCCAGCAGTGCCTGCACGACCTCGAGGTGGCCGCCTTCTGCTGCTGCTTGGAAAGCTGTTCGGCCGTGCTCTGTAGCAGGAGCTGCGTTGACATCGGCTTTGGCTGCTAGCAGTACCTGCACGACCTCGAGGTGACCGCCTCTCGCTGCTGCTTGGAGAGCTGTTCGGCCGCTATATCTCGCCGGTGCTGCGTTAACATCGGCTTTGGCTGCTAGCAGTGCCTGCACGACCTCGAGGTGACCGCCCTCTGCTGCTGCTTGGAGAGCTGTTCGGCCTTGGCTTGTAGTAGGTGCTGCGTTGACATCGGCTTTGGCTGCCAGCAGTGCCTGCACGACCTCGAGGTGGCCGCCCTCTGCTGCTGCTTGGATAGCTGTTCGGCCTTGTTTTGTAGCAGGTGCTGCGTTGACACTGGCCTTCGCTGCCAGCAGTGCCTGTACGACATCGAGGTGACCGCCTCCCGCTGCTGCTTGGAGAGCTGTTCGGCCGCTATGTTCCGCTGGTGCTGCGTTCACATCGGCTTTGGCTGCCAGCAGTGCCTGCACGACCTCGAGGTGGCCGCCTTCTGCTGCTGCTTGGAAAGCTGTTCGGCCGCTATGTTCCGCTGGTGCTGCGTTCACATCGGCTTTGGCTGCCAGCAGTGCCTGCACGACCTCGAGGTGGCCGCCTTCTGCTGCTGCTTGGAAAGCTGTTCGGCCGTGCTCTGTAGCAGGAGCTGCGTTGACATCGGCTTTGGCTGCCAGCAGTGCCTGCACGACCTCGAGGTGGCCGCCCTCTGCTGCTGCTTGGACAGCTGTTCGGCCTCGCTTTGTAGCAGGTGCTGCGTTGACATTGGCCTTCGCTGCCAGCAGTGCCTGTACGACATCGAGGTGACCGCCTCCCGCTGCTGCTTGGAGAGCTGTTCGGCCGCTATATTCCGCTGGTGCTGCGTTGACATGGGCTTTCTCTGCCAGCAGTGCCTGTAAGACTTCGAGGTGGCCGCCTCCCGCTGCTGCTTGGAGAGCTGTTCGGCCGTACTTTGGATCAGGAGCTGAGTTGACACCGGCGTTCGCTGCCATCAATGCATGTACGACCTCGAGGTGACCGCCTCCTGCTGCTCCTTGAAGGGCTGTTCGGCCGTTAAATATAACTTCAACGTTAGCTCCTGCTTCGAGCAACAGTGACAAAGAAAGATTGCATCCATCTGCAGCAGCATATGACAATCCATGATCCACGATGTCGCTGGTATTCTCAAGCTGAAGAAACACCTTAGTGTAACGATAACGATCGTGAATGTTGGCGCGACGAAGAACTTCATGCTTCAATCTGTTGGACAGAATATAAGGTTGATGTTTCCCGAAATATAAAAGTAATGCGTAATTTCCATTGGACAATAGCCATTGCACCGCGTTCGGCATATCTGTCTTGGCGGAGTTCTGTTGCTCCGGGTTCCAAGGTCTGCATGCAGCATTGTCATTCCCTTCCACACATCGGCAAAACAATTGCCATGTCTTACTGCTAACATCATCAGTGAAATCACTTAGATGATAGAGCCAGTAATCCTTAGCATAATTTAGAAACTGAAATCCCTGCTCCTGAAGTTCAAACTTCAGCCGTGCAGACTCCCCATCTCCAACGATATCTCGCGCCGTCCTCTCGATTTCTCGAGTACTGCGATTGCGCAGGTTGCGATGTTGAAAAAGAATCTTTTGAGCCAGCATACTGCTCACTCTGCTTGAAGTGTATATAGGGAGGGTACCAAGATGGGCGGGGTTGAGGGGAGTACCAGAACCCTTCTTAAATCTAGTTAGTTGACGCTTGAAGTTACTGAAATCCAGATACGTCATGCAAAGGAGCCCAAAATGCCGATCAAGTCCTGCTCTGTCAAATCGCGCCTCGTGTACATCGTTGGTGATAAAAAGATATTGTTTCACACTGTGGTGCACATAATGTACAGTGTCTTGCTCTTCGTCGACGAATATTAATCCATAGCAACCGTTGAAAATCTTATGCATGTTGTTGGGCATCTTTCCGTGGTCAAAAGCCTTTTGATCTAGCGAAAGGCTAAGGGCCTCTCGACATTCCATAACTGTCATTGGCCGTTTCACTATCCCACAATATTCAAGTACTTTCATTGCCTGCCTGGTCGCCCGTCCTTCTCGGACACGACGAAGTTTTCGATCATAGAGTTCAGATAAGGCGAGTGGAAGATTTTTCAGTGCACCCAAGATGTCATCATCACAATTCTGTGTGCAAAGCTCGTCGATGCAGAGACCAACCCAAAGAAACCTATGTTTTTAAGTTAGCCATGCATTTACGATTGCGGGTCATGAAACCTGTCCCTCCCATAGGTCTCCGGCTAGGTGGTATTTGAATACTCACATTCCGTCGCTCCTGTCCCGTAGAGCACTGTATATCTTTGTGATGTGCTCTGGGTCCCGGAGAGTCAAAAGTTTCTCTTCCAGGCACCTACCCAAGATTGCGGTAATATAGCGATCTATGTCCCACTCAACCTTTCCCTTATTCACAATGACTGTATACTGCGGTCTGCTCCCTTTGAACATTTTCCTTTCAAGGCCAGGCCGGCCTGTGCAGAGGATTTTGAGTCCTTCAAGAAGACTGCTGCAGAGCTCAGCCAAAGCCTGCCCCACTGCTTGAATCTGATGGTCCTGACATTCATCCAGACCATCCAGGATAACATAGTACTTCTTATCGGCCTCTAGACGAGATGATAAGAAGGAAATGACATCATTCGCACTGAGGTCCCGGCTGCTTTCTTCTAAGGCAAGTAGAGTTTCATAGTTGCTTTGATCAATTTGAGTGTCGATCATTTGACGAGCCAGACTTCCAAGGATGTTCTGCGCGGATAAAGATGCTTCATCGTCGACGCGACAGAAGTAGTAGGATACGATCTCGTTGCTCTTGCGCACCGCATGCAGCTGAGCCACCACATTAGACATGAGCACAGTTTTACCCATGCCGATGGTTCCTGAACACCAAAGTACCACTGTTCGTGAATCCTCTTTCCATTTACAGAAGACCGACTCCTTCTGGAGCCACTCAGCTGTGTTCGAAACCCTTTGCCTCAAAGCCTGTCTCCAAGGAGAAACATGGTTGACGACAGAAAGGTTATTTCGAATACTCATCTTCAATGTCGCTTTTTCCCTTCTTCTCCTATCAGTTCGTAATGTTTTTGCCTCGGCCTGTTGTTTCAGTGATGTTTGGAAGAATTTCAGGGCCGAAGGTCGAAACTTTGAATTTTGTTGTCTTTCATATTCAAGCAGCTGTTTTGCTTCTTGGTCTGCTTGCTTTGATGCGAGTGATGTCTGCAGTCGTATCTCATTTTTAGCCTCCTCAAGTCGATCCAGCAACATTTTAAATTCGGAATCAAATGGGAGCAGCATCGACGAAAGAGTTTGCTTGAGAGTGGTCCGACGGGAGACTTCGATGATCTTTACGCACAGATCAATGATGACGGCATAGTAATCACAAAGCGCACGTTGGAGACCAATGCAGCCGGGATAGAGTAAGCCAAACAGTTGATATGTTGGACAGGTTTTGCCGATGCCCATGATCATGCTAGTAACTTTGTCAAAATAAGACGCGACATTGCTCGCCGTCAATATGGCAGTTTTTACACCACCCCAGACGAGGGCAGCGATTGCCGGATTACAGCTCACGAATGTGTCAACAACACCGACGAACTGCTGCGTTGCCTCCAAAAAGGTGCACAGCCGAGGAGCCACACATCTCCTGGTCATGCTACTATTCTTAGCATCGATTTGTGCGACAAACTCGATGACGCTCCCAATATCCGGGGTTGTGGAGTTTCCTCGGAATTCTCCCTTCTGCTCGTCTGTCAAGATATTCTGAAAATTCTCCAACGCTGTATTGAGGGAGTTTGCTGGGTCTGCCCCCTGAAGCTTTACTCTCTGGGACAATTGAAGGGCCATCAGGGAGACTGCGTGTGGTACACAATGAAGACAATCGAAGTTTTTTGGAAGTGCAGATGAAGAGGACGGCTAGTGGGATATGTAGATCTGTTCACGGTCCTGCGTAATTCCCTTGATGGGATGGGGCTTTCAGAAGTTGCCACAGGTTCAACTTGCGGATGAGGGGAAGTCAGCTGCAGAGGGTGCTAGCGTCGAAAATTCCTGATTGGCTGTTGGAGCACCTGTTTTGATGGTATTGTCCTGTCATCCTGATACGCACTACTCCTGCATTAGGGTTAGACCTGTATCTATATCACTGGAATGTGAACCACACAACTCCACAACAATACAACCAATATACACATGCTACAACAACATGGTGTTTAGTGATAATCCATTGCTACGTACGAGACCTTACCGATCCACCGATCGTTGACACATTTGTGTAAACATTGGGGCCTGTGACTCTGACAATTGTGATTTTGTTTAAGAGAGAGTGCATACATTGTGTATTGACCTAGCCCGTATCTCCTTGTCCAATGCCAGTCGCACACGAATTAAGGTGAAGCTTCAAGACCCATCAACTTCACTTCCAACAGTGAGTGACGCGGCAAGGAGGATGTTCTGCATGGAGTCTTTCAATGTTGGAGAAAGGGCCGTCACGCCGAGCATGTTTTGATCGATTAGGAAGACATCAATGTCTGGGGTCGCCCACGCGGCCGTGGATCACGTTAACGCAAATAGCGTGGTCACCTTGGGGCCCAAGTGGATTTGCAAAGTCAGCTCGGTCTGGTGTAGCTCTCTAGGCGGCTACACGTTCTCAAACACTAGTGTTTTCAGGACTAACTAGATGAAAGAAGCGAGAGTTATTATGGAAAAGCCCAGAAAATAATTTGCTAGGAGTATTACCGTTTTCTCAAACGACACGCACTCCTTGAGTTGTATTCGCGAGTTGGGCGCCAAAGTTGGGCCGCTTTCGTGGCTCCACTCAATCAACATCAAGGATAAATTACAAATACTGCCTGATCTGTAGACCGCAATAACGAATAATTGATAAAACTGCACAGATTGCAGCTGCTCCTTTGCCCAGAATGTGACGGTGGAATATAATAGGTGATTCTTGGCCATATTCTCCTAATCGGCCTTAGTCTTGATTCCTGTAAGAGAACAAATTGTTCGACCTGTGCGCATTCTAGTCTTCCATGGCTTTTCCCAGCCATTTGACGGTGGATAGCTCTGCTAATATTTGGTCACCATCATCTGGACTGCTATTCTTCTGCCACGTAAATAAAGGCAACCGTTGTGCTCTAGTACTTCTGTTTATGGAGCGGTGGCTTCATCTCTCTTCAATAGATTTGTACCCTGAGCAAATTTTTCATGCAGCGTGGACCAGGAAGCTCGCAGATGGGCTCCAAGGCCGCTCCGATGGTAAGTCTAGGGATTGAGAATCGGACTCACAGAATGTCACTAATAGGTATCGCACGCCACGATAGATCGGATACCTTTCTTTAGAACACAATGCCCTCGACAATACGTCTTTGGGAAGCCAACTTTGTCTCCCCCAAGGGCGAGGGCTCTGAGACGTCAAATCGCCGCTTGGTCCATTGGTCTTGCTACCAACGAAGTAGACTATAAGATAAGCGAGCTGGGTGACAGACTTTATCATTCTGCCAAAACTGAGCAGCTAGTATTTCCTCTGCTGGAGGAGCTCGGACTTGGCGTAAGTCAAAAACTTGAAAATCTAGAATGCTGCTGACACTGGCAGGATATGAATTATAAGATGAAGCGAATTGCTTGCCTCCAGTCAATCCTCGTAACCAACGTCACATTTTTGATTCCTATAAACTTTTTGCGAGGAATTCCATTGGCCGTGATGTGTGAAGGTCAAGCGAGGCAACTGAGACTGGGGCATTGTTATGTCATTCCTGTCGACTTTTACCTAACCTCGGGGATTGATTGTCTTCTCGTGGCACCTCATTTTCGGATTTAGAGGCTATCGTCATTTATCGTAGGCTATTAGACTAAATAACATATCTTTAAGTCCCATGGGACTAACCGAATCGAATTTCCCTTGTTAAGTAGTGATTGAATATAGTTCCAGTCCCTGATTGGGGGCTCCCAACAGGTAGTGAAGATGTTCTATCTCGGAATAGTGCCTTCTAATCGTTGGTCGTCTCGTCTCGTAGATGTGACTGGGATTGAAATTCAGGTGAGAGCTGCTTTAGCCGAAGCTTCTCAGCGCGGAAATTGAAGGGTAGTGTTGTAGCATGTGAATCCTACTGTACTAGAGCCCGGTAAACGTTCTCGATAACGTGTTTGTGTTACCAGGATCCTGAAAAAATCGCTGCTACGAGACGCCGGGAGAGCCACGTGGCTACAATACCGATTTCCTGTACTGATTGAGATAAATGGCGGGACGGGCCGCGATGCGAACCCCTGAACCGCCGGACCGCGACGAACGTGAAAATTCACCACCGCGATTGTCGAGACCGAAACGAACGACTAGACCACCAAGAAACTATGCCCAAGAACAAGAGATCGACAATGAACAGAGAAAGACGCGAGCTCAGCACAAGCAGAGAACCGAGCCCGAATTCCAGCCCGATGGGGCAACCTCGGATGACTCCGCGACCGAGAGTAACGAGCTGGATGTCAGCAAGTTGGTGAAGGAGTTGGTCGAACTCAGGAAAGAGATCCGACGGCGAGACGAGCGACATAGAGAAGAGCTTCAGAAGGCCCAAGAAGAGTTTCAGAGAACCAAGGAAGAATTTAGCGCTGCCCTCACTGAGGTCCGACACGAGCTACAAAACCTGACGGATAGGACCCCGACATCGCAATGCAACTCCGAAGCATGCACCCGGAATGGCCACGATGAAATCCTACGAGAAATTCAATCCCTACGTGAAGAAATCAGCGCCCCCGCACTCACAGGTTCCCCGTCCTACACCGATGTCGCCCGCACTCCCCCGCTCAGCCACCCGAGTAACATACGGAGTCTCTCGACATCGAACAAAACACCAACCACGCTCACCGACACCCTCTATTGTACCATTGACACATCCAAGATGGTAGAGAACGAAAACGAGAGAATGTCTGCAGCCTTGATCCGGGCGGCAGTCGAGACAGAGATCCGAGCAACCCCAGACCACACGCATTGGCGTTGTCGCGCCGTCACTGTGGATGCGAAGAATACGAATCGAATCAGAATAGCGTGCCGCGACGAAGCCGAACACCAACTGGTCAAGAAAGTGGCAGAATCCCAAATCGGCGCAGGAGCACGGGTCCTTCGGGATGAGCTTTACCCTATCAAAGTCGACAGCGTGAACAAAGCCGCAGTGCTGGATGACAAAGAGGAGATCCGTGCCGGAGCAACAGCCGCCTTCAGTGAGGAGAACGAAGCCACCGTTGCGAAAATCGCATGGCTTAGCAAGAAGGAGAGCGCGAAGGCATATGGGTCAATGGTCGTTTACCTCACTAGAGGCAGTGACGCACGGAGACTGCTAGCCGACGGGTTCTTCCACGCTGGAGGAGAATCCGGCCTGACCAGTACCTTCGAGCATCGACCTCGACCGATGCAGTGCTACAACTGCCAGGAGATCGGCCACAAGGCTTTCCAGTGCAAGAACACTCAGAGATGTGCAAAGTGCGCCGCAGAAGGCCATCGCCACAGTAGCTGCGACCAGACAGTTCCGAAGTGCGCTCCATGCGGGGGCCCTCATGAATCGTTCAGCAGAAACTGTCGGAAGCTTTACCCGCCACGCAATGAATAAGACGCTCCGAGTGATGCAACTGAATGTGAGGAAACAGGGTGCAGTGCTGGAAAGCCTCATGAACGACAAGGATACCGAAAACGCAGTGGCACTCGCGATCCAGGAACCCCAGGCGAGGAGGATTCAAGGCCGGCTCTTGAACACCCCGATGGGACATCACAAATGGACCAAGATGGTTCCCTCCGTGTGGAGAAAGGGGAGATGGGCGGTTTGAAGCATGTTGTGGGTGAATAGGGATGTGGAAGTGGAGCAAGTACCGATCGAGTCGCCGGACCTGACGGCAGCCGTCATTCGGCTTCCGGAGCGACGTATCTTGGTGGCATCGGTTTATGTGGAAGGAGGTAACGCCACTGCTTTGAACGACGCATGCGATCACCTTCGAAAAGCAATCACTAAAGCACGGCGGGGCTCAGGGACGTTGGTGGAGGTCATGATCATGGGGGACTTTAACCGCCATGATCAACTGTGGGGAGGAGACGAGGTGTCCTCGGTCAGACAAGGCGAAGCGGATCCGATCATCGATCTAATGAACCAGTTTGGACTCAGCAGCCTGCTCAAACGAGGCACCAAGACATGGCATGGCTAAGGATATTCGGGGGACTGCGAGTCGACCATCGACCTCGTTCTCGCCTCGGAAAACCTGACAGATTCGATGTTCAAATGTGCGGTCCACGGAACAGAGCACGGTTCGGATCATGTTACCATGGAAACCGTTCTTGATGCGCCTTGGACGGCTCCAACGCAGACAGATAGACTGCTGCTGAAGAATGCACCGTGGAAAGAGATCAATGCCAGAATCGCGAGCACGCTAGCTGCCACTCCGGTGGAAGGCTCCGTACAGCAAAAAACCGATCGGCTGATGCACGCGGTGTCGGAAGCTGTTCGTGCGTTGACGCCGAAGGCCAAACCGTCACCGCACGCAAAGCGATGGTGGACGGCGGACCTGACGCAACTGCGTCAAATCTACACACATTGGAGAAACCACGCCCGCGCAGAGCGACGGGCAGGGCGCAAGGTGCCAGAGCTGGAGGGCATGGCCGCAAGCGCGGCGAAGCAATACCACGACGCGATTCGGAAACAAAAGAAGAAACACTGGAACTAGTTTCTGGCCGACAACGACGACATCTGGAAAGCGGCCAAGTATCTGAAGGCAGGTGAAGACGCAGCCTTTGGGAAGGTTCCACAGCTCGTCAAAGCAGATGGAACGGTTACCACCGATCACGAGGAGCAGGCGGAAGAACTACTGACCAAATTCTTCCCGCCACTGCCGGACAGCATTGACGACGAAGGGACTAGACCACAAAGAGCGCCGATAGAGATGCTAGCCATCATCATGGAAGAGGTAGAGCGACAGTTGTTCGCAACGAAGTCATGGAAGGCACCAGGTGAGGATGGCCTGCCGGCCATAGTGTGGAAAATGACCTGGCCTACGGTCAAACATCGTGTTCTCGACCTTTTTCAGACGTCACTGGGAGAAGGCACGCTCCCGAAACAGTGGAGACACGCGAAGATCATCCCACTGAGAAAACCGAGCAAGGAAGACTACACTATTGCTAAGGCGTGGAGACCGATCTCACTCCTTGCGACGCTAGGCAAGATCCTGGAGTCAGTGGTGGCAGAAAGGATCTCGCACACAGTGGAGACCCACGGCCTGCTCCCGACCAGTCACTTCGGTGCCCGAAAACAGCGGTCCGCCGACCAGGCACTCCTGCTCTTGCAAGAGCAAATCTACGCGGCGTGGCGCGGCCGACGGGTGCTGAGCCTGATCAGCTTCGACGTGAAAGGGGCATACAATGGAGTCTGCAAAGAACGACTGCTTCAAAGGATGAGAGCACGAGGCATACCGGAGGGCCTGCTCCGCTGGGTTGAGGCGTTCTGCTCTGGACGGACGGCGACCATCCAGATCAATGGGCAATCATCGGAAGTTCAAGACCTGCCACAAGCTGGACTGCCGCAAGGCTCGCCCTTGTCTCTGATCCTCTTTCTCTTCTTCAACGCCGACCTCGTGCAGAGACAGATCGACAGCCAGGGAGGAGCGATTGCTTTCGTGGATGACTTTACCGCGTGGGTGACAGGACCAACTGTGCAGAGAAACCGGGACGGTATCACGACCATCGTCAGTGAAGCGCTCGACTGGGAGAAGAGGAGCGGAGCAACCTTTGAAGCAGACAAAACGGCGATTATACACTTCGCACCCAATGCTCGCAAAGTGGACCAAGAGCCGTTCACTATCAAGGGACAGACGGTCGCGCCTAAGGACAAGGTCAAAATCCTAGGGGTGCTGATGGACACGAGACTGAAGTACAAGGAGCATATTGCAAGGGCAGCGTCCAAAGATCTGGAGGCAGCGATGGAGCTTCGACGACTCTGAGGTCTCTCCCCAGCAACAGCGCGGCAGCTGTTCTCGTCGACGGTAGCTCCAGTGGTGGATTATGCCTCGAATGTCTGGATGCACGCCTTGAAGAACCAAAACATGGGTCCGATCAACCGGGTGCAAAGGGTAGGAGCGCAAGCAATTGTGGGCACGTTCCTCACCGTTGCGACCAGCGTGGCAGAGGCCGAGGCCCATATCGCCACGGCACGACACCGATTCTGGAGACGAGCCGTGAAGATGTGGACAGACCTCCACACACTGCCAGAAACCAATCCTCTGCGCAGAAGCACAGATCGGATCAGGAAATTCAGGAGATACCACCGCTCACCACTATATCAAGTAGCAGACGCGCTGAAAAACATCGACATGGAATCGCTGGAGACCATCAACCCGTTCACACTGGCACCATGGGAGGCACGAGTGCAGATAGATGACGAGCTCGTTCCAGAAGGGTCTACTGTACCAGGTGGATCAATGCAGATCGCGTTCAGCAGCTCGGCGCGGAATGAACTGGTCGGGTTTGGAGTGGCGATCGAGAAACAACCACCACGCCAGCGGAAAGTGAGACTGAAGACCTTGTCTGTCACGCTGAGCGCGAGGACAGAACACAATCCGTTTTCTGCAGAGCTGGCGGCTATAGTGCATACACTGAAGACACTCGCGGCAGTGAAAGACTTTCGGATCACCCTGAACACGAGCAACAAAGCGGCGGCTCTGACGTTGACGAACCCGCGACAACAGTCGGGCCAGGGATTTGTCTGTCAAATCTACAAGTTGACGAGCAGAATGCAGAGGCATGGAAATCAGATCAACGTCCGGTGGATCCCCACTATCGAGGACAACAAACTACTAGGGCTGGCGAAAGAGCAGGCGAGAGCCGCGACGCAAGAAGATGCTATCCCGCAAGTATAGGCCCCCAAAATGAAATCGACGACTCTGAAGATTGCGCGTGCCCAAGCAGTCCCCAAAAGCGAGTTGCCCGAGAATGTAGGGAGACACTCCCGACGAGTGGACACAGCACTCCCAGGGAAACACACGCGACAGCTGTATGACCGATTGTCGTGGAAAGAGGCGAGCGTGTTGGCCCAGCTTCGCACCGGCATGGCAAGACTCAATGGATATCTCTTTCGGATCAATGCCGCCGAGACAGATCAATGTGCATGTGGACAAGCAAGAGAGACAGTAGACCACTTTCTGTTTCGATGTCGGAAGTGGACCGCGCACCGGACGGATATGTTACAATGTACCGATACACACCGAGGGAACCTGTCCTTCTTCCTGGGAGGGAAGTCACCCTCCGATGATCAAGAGTGGAAGCCGAATGTGGAAGCAGTGCGAGCGTCAATACGATTCGCCATCGCTACGGGCCGACTGGAGGCCACCTAGACCTGCCGACGAGCTGATAGAACACCTCACCTTACTAACCCCAACACCTTGTGATCGACGGTAGACGCGCTTCAACTGCCGAAGATAGGATGTTGAACACTTGAAGAAGCGCCTTCAAGCCAGTCTACTAACCAATACTAACCACAGGGACCGTCTATGAGATTGAAATCTGAAATGGGAAATACGGAAGGGATTACTGTATGGGCTCCAAAGAGACACGGCGTATACCCAAACATGCATGTACTGGTAGCTTAGTGATAGTTGCCCTCTCGGCTCAGCCGCCGGGCGTTAATGAATTGTGTGTGTGTGTGTGTGTATCTATGGGGAGATATCGCCCAAAAGCGTTCCCGTCGTTGTTGTCATTATCACTTGGGTCTACAAAGGCTCTCTGGGTGCTGATTCGGACGCAGTTTTGCTCTTTCTCGGGTTTCTGGTGGCTCAGCGAGGGTGTGGCATTATCGCCAGTGGCTGCGACTGTTGCCCAAGTCCTAGTCGCGGTGACTGCAGGGGCGCTTTCAACCTGTGCTCGTAACGCTTTCACTTCCTCATGGAGCATCTCGTTCTGTTCTTGCAGGACATTTTGATTGTGTTTAACATCAACCACCTTCACCTCTTGATCCAGGCGTGTCCGAGTACTCGAGTGTTCGGGAGATCTAGTGGTACAGACGCGCTCGAAATCAGTTTCACCTCTTTACTCTCTTTAATTCTTTCTCAGCCTCTATTTTGCCAGAAGCCATTCCTTCTGTGATTAGTCTACCCCTGACCCACATGCTTGGCTGTATCGCAATACGGTAATAAATAATGGCTTAAAAACAGCGCCCGTATTACGAGTGCGTGATATCCTTCAATTGTTTTTATATGTTTAAGTTCTTCACAGCAAGAGGTTTCAGTTCTTCGCAGCCTCTTGCTGTGCCTTCGTGTGAGCTTTCTTTTCCCTTTTTATCTTCTTCCCGGCCTCCTGCTGTGTTTTATGGGAGGTGTTCTTTTCGTCCTTGAGCTTCTTTATAGCCTCTTGCTGTGCCTTCGCGTGAGCTTTCTTTTCCCTTTTTATCTTCTTCGCGGCCTTCTTCTGTCTCTTCGTGCAAGCTTTCTTTTCATTTTTTATCTTTTTCGCGGCCTTCTTCTGACTCTTTACGCGGGCTTTCATTTCACAACTCGCTCCCTGTCTTGAAGTTTCGGTAGGCTGTTCGGTTTTGGTAGTTTCAGCTGAAATCATAATTGGAGTAGCCGCTGACGTTTCGAGTATCATTTTGTCTTCCTTTGTTGCATTATTCTCATTCCACGATTTTTCGAGAAGTAAGTATAACAAACCAAACAATATCACTACCGGTATCTTAAGTAGAGTAAACAGGAATACCAACAGTAGTGAAATACTGTAGATAGGCTGAATATAGGCAACCTAGATGAAAGATAATATTATAAGCGGTAATTCGCTGGAGATGACAAAAGATCTAATATGGCGTACCTTGTGTTGTTCAAAGTTTTTGAACTCCTCAGTAGAGGAGAGGTGCTGTTTCGGGAAAGCCATCAAGCTTTGCAATTTTGTTTTATCCTCGCTGTGTCTTACTTGCCTCCATTTCATCTTGCAAGCCCTTAATCCAAATCGTTCCACCCATTTGTTGCTTCTGTCATTCGGCCATAGCTCGTAAAAAAATTCATCACTTTCCTTGATCAAAGGATGAACAATATTGATTTTGTGGACCGCGTTCTGACCAAATAAACCTCGAATTATGGGCTCTTCGATGACTTGGTAGTAAGACAGACCCGACGGATGAAATCGCTCTGGTGGTGGAGGTGAAAGCAGCGTGACCTCTTCACCCTTGGCTATGCGCCAGGCAAATATCGCGGAAGCACCATGGACATATTTACTCCATTGCTCAGAATTCTTCCTCAATTTCAAGCAATTTGGGTGTTTTACATCCATAAGTGGCCCCATTGCTGTGGTCAAAGTCTGAAGTCGATGCCTATCAGCCCATTGTTGAGCCTGTTCACGAAGCATTCCACTCCAGAGCACTTGACCGTTTGGAAGCCAATTATCAGATTGAAACTGCTCAAGAATCTGAACCGCTTCTTGGAGAGATAGGTATTGTCTCAATATTTCGACGAGAGGCGCTTGAGCTGGCGTTTGGTTGGCAAGCGATCGAATTAACTTTTCTTCATCCATCCGTACAATGTAACCTTGGAAGATGATGGAGGAAAAAAGGAAGGGAAACCTTGGAAGCCTTTTTTATCTTCGAGATTCGCGAAAGTTGTGGCGAGCACTTGAGGTGATAGTAGGTAGGTAGTGCGTATACCTGTAATACTTATACGTATGCGTGCATGCCTTGCAACCTGGGCAAGAATTTAGCTACGTCATGACTTTGTCTGTCTTTGGTCTAGACCCATAGCATTTTTACCTTCTGCGGTAACTAAAGTTGTGATTCATAGGTTATCAAGGACCTCGTATAGAATCATATAAGGTGTGGTATATAAAAGTGATTCATCTTGACGTAGAAGCCGTTTTATTGATTTCGTATCGCGAGTATCCCACCGCCCGTGTAATTTTGTGTTACATGGTATTTTACATCTCTGTAACACACTAATCCAAAGAAGGACTAGGGTGTTTCAGAATAGAGTTCAGGAAGGAAGAGAAGACCACAACCTGGGTGGATCATGATCGTCCGGCAGGTCACATGAGAATCCATCAAATCTGAGTGATCATGCCCGTGGTCTCCTCTTGTCATTGAATAGGCAATTTAATCTGAACTGTGCCAGGATCTATGACTCCCCAAGACTCACAACCCATTCCTGTGTTCCATCGCGTGCTTTTTCCTACCCTGGGCTCTTTGAACCACTTCGCAGGTCCTAGAATCCCAAAAAAGGACTGAGTACTGAGACGAAGAGTGGCCTTTTCTGGTCCATCCACAGTCGTCGAAACTCAATTGAGCTGGCTATTCGCGGACCACGAGAATTGACATACTCCATCACGAGAACGATGACATCTCAAATTGATTGACCACTGACGCGTGAGGTTTCAGTGGACTAGGGAACGGGTAATTACTAAAGTTGGTCGGCAAGGACTTGAACAGCGAAAGCAGGTCATACAGCTGTCTTATCAAATCAGATTGACACTTCTACAATACATTTGGATACTGATTCCACTCGAAAAACTCATGATTTATTTCCAGATCCGTACCAGAATACTGTAGGAATTGCATCGGACTTCTCGACACGCTTGAGTTGCTCAGTGAAGATCCTCTGCAAAAGAAATCCGCTTTTTCTTGTATCTTTCAGTCAAAAGCGATTGAAGAGATGCAATCGTCTTCTTAACATCCTCCATCTCCTCTTTGAGGATTTCCACATCGACGGCAGTCTTTCTCTTCAGTAAGCGTTTGGGGGTCTTGCCCTCTGGTCTGTGCCCTTCTGTCAGCCCTTCTTTCTCTTGCCACCAGACATCAAAGGTGCACTTACTTCACTCGGTCGGCAGGCCTGCAAATTATCCGTTAGACAGCGACAATGATGACTAGCAATATTGGGGGTTTTTGCTTACTGCTCAGCTGCATATTTCGCATGTCGGTGCAGCCCTGGGCACAGACCATTGACTGACTCCGATTCCCGACCACGTTTGAATGAAACCTTACTGCCGTGGCATTCATTCGCATCTGGAGGACCAAACTTATCTCTCGTTGTAGTTTTGTCTTTCAGCATTTCCAGGACTTGGTCAGTATAACTGCGAGGCCCATGATCAAGATTTCGATGGACACGATCGGGGGACTCCATCACTTGATTCTTTTTTATGCGAGCCTTAGAAAGAAAATGGACAATTTTAGAAAATAGTTGGGGAATTTCCACAGAACAAGTTAAGTCTGCTTTAGACTTTAAGCACGCTGACCGACTTCATTGGGAACGTTTGATGATCCATGGAAATCTTGTCTAGGTGGTATTTACTTTTAGCCTAAGAAATTTCTGAAAGCATTCACCGCAGAAAACGTAGGGATTCGACATTATGGATTCCAGTCAACCTAAGGGGGTCATTTCTTGACGGAACAGGCCAACCACAGGTACAATCGAGCGTGACTGTTGGCCACAAAGTCTCGGACGCGATATTTCAACGTCCGTTGAAGCACTTCAACCTTCATGAAAGAGACGGTGAGCGTGGCTAGAACTGGCAGATGTAGAGTGCCACCGCGTTGAGCGATTTAATTGCAATTTCAATGATGTGAGAATCATTTTCTTGCGGTATCACTGCCTTCTCAACAGTTGATGAAAGTGGTTCATCACACTCAACGCAGGTTTTGAACGCAATGAATCCGGGTTGAAACTTGAGTCTGTAGGCCACAAAGTCTCTTAACACCGATTCAACGTTGTTCAAATGTCTTCAACGACAATAACGAGGCAGTGATTCTCGCTACCAACTGCGCAACCGGTTCCTTGGTCGAGGCGTAGCCGAAAAGATATAAAAGCGGCCAGATTCCCAGCCCAAAAGATCAGGACTTCGGTCCTCACACTCCGCTGTGTCACGATGTCCCTCTCTTGCCTGCGGGCTTGAGCGTCTCCGTGGCCACGGCTGTCGCTGCCACGAGCCCAGCGATGTAAGACTTGCGCTACCTCACAGCCAATGAGCCCTGTGACTGTAAAAATGTGCTTCGCAGGATAGGTCTGCGTCAACAACAATCCTCGCAGGGGGGGCGCTGCGTTACCAAGTGAACTCCGCAGGGGGACGCTGTGATGACAATTGAGACCCGCAGGAGACCGCTGCGTCAACGAGTTCTCTGCAGGAGACCGCTGCATTACCAAGTTCTCCGCAGACTAGGTCCTGCGTCAACAAAGCGCCTCGCAGGGACATCTGCGACACCAAGAGTCTCCGCAGGGACATCTGCGACACCAAGAGTCTCCGCAGGGACATCTGCGACACCAAGAGTCTCCGCAGGGACATCTGCGACACCAAGAGTCTCCGCAGGGACATCTGCGAAACCAAGAGTCTCCGCAGGGACATCTGCGACACCAAGAGTCTCCGCAGGGACATCTGCGACAAAAAGCCCCTCTAGCTCGTGCAGGCACCTCTACGTGGTGCTAGGGACCAGTATTGGAGTATTCAAGAGTACTCGAAGAAGCCAAGACCTGCACACCATCTCGATGACGCATGATGTGTTTCGAATGATGATCATTGGAGAAATAAAGTGAGCTCTAGATAGAAGCAACCCAATTTCAAATTCGTAAATTCAAGATCCTTCGTTATAGAGTGCCACATTCCGAATCCTGCTGTCTTCATCCTTTGGATTGACTAGCATTCGCGTCGCAATGGAATTTATCTGCCACTGGAGCATAAAGCGAGCACAGGTGATTATTTCGGTGCATTGTGGATGTGTTGACTGGGCGTTCACGAGTGTTGGCGGTTGATGAGCGTTGATGGATGTGTTGAACGTTGATGAATGTCGATGATGGTTGGTGGATGTTGATAAACGTTGGTTGTCTTGACAAACCCTGACGGTGTTGATAAACGTTGACGGTGTTGATAAACGTTGACGGTGTTGATAAACGTTGACGGTGTTGACAAACGTTGACGGTGTTGATAAACGTTGACGGTGTTGATAAACGTTGACGGTGTTGATAAACGTTGACAGTGTTGATAAACGATGATGGCGTTAATACTGGTAGGAATGAGCGTTGACAGTAGGGAGTATGAACGTGTGTTCGGTGGGAAATGGCCAGGCGGTGAAGTAGAGTGCACACCAAGTCTGTTTCTATGCACACCACAATGGGTGGCATTCATACTGCTGACTAATGTCGTCTTTTGTGCATGTTCTGGCCCGGGTCTCGGCCCGACTTTTCCGTGCCCAATTCGGGGGTTCAACTGCTCCAGGAACCAAGACATGATATTTAACGACAACGAGTGGGTAATGAAAGTCATGGACAATATTGGATATACAATAGAGATGACTGCATGGGACATTCTAAGAAAAACCATGGTATGATTAGGAATTTGTACTATTCTGGCACCTAGAGGCTTTGTGAGCGTCAGCACGTAACTATATATACTTCATATACACGGAAATATGTATATCCTCTTGTTCAAGCATGACACTTTCACCAATGGAGACTCCTCATCCGTAAGCCCACAGGATTCAATTTCATGCTAAAAGCTAGCTAATTTCTCGCAATAAGTGAAGCTGTAATCAGGCGAACGCCCACGATCACACATTTTAGGCATCAAAGAAGCCTCTGATGAGGAGCGCTCGAAATAGGTTTTGCTGCTCGAATAACCATGGTCATGCGATGGATTGTTCCTCGCGCATTCAAATTTGCCGCTTCAGCTGGCTTGCAAGTCACTCACTCCTACTATGCCGTAGAATGCCTACAATCACAACGTGGATTCACAACAAACACAACCAAGTAACCGAGGGCCTTGACTCAAAGCCATTCAGTCGGCTCCTTTGAGACATGCCAACCGTCGCACGTTTGTCCGTAATTGCCGCTAGTAACATCAATGTATAGTGCGAGCCAATCACCCATGCAACAACCACACCACACTGGGTGTAGTACCCCAGACCACGCGATCGAGCATAACCTACTTTGAAGAGAATATGTATCAGCCCGATTGAGTCTAGCAAGCGCCATCTTGACTAGGTCTGGTAAAGATGACTCCACCGACTGATCCACTTGGCTTGGAGCCGCAGCAGCCATGTCTCTCTTTCCCCCGAAAGCAACCGGTGAATGCTCATTGAGGGTATGAATTTTTAGCAAAGGCTGTCATGGATAGTCCGAGGTCGCGCAGAGGATAGCTCTTGGCGGGCTTGTGACGGATATCAATGCCACCTTGACAGATAATGTGCTTGAACAGTGATATACAATCACAAACGCGGTGTATCTGACAAATAATTAATGCTCAAGGACAGTCAAAGTAGAAGACGCAGAGAACTGGGTCATCTCCTGGAAAAGTCTGCTTGCGTGCTACGT